AGCCTTACCGCCACTACTGCGACTGATACTAGTACTACTAATCGCGGCAGTTCTAACAGTGGTCGTCGCGTTAGAAATAATGATAGTCGCCGTCGTCGAAGAAGCGGTAGCGGTAATCAGAATGGTAGTAGTACTAGTTGCAATCGCGTTGATCGTGGAAGCGGGAGTGATAATACCCGTGGTAGTCGTACTACGAGTGGTAACGCTGGTAATCGTGGCAGTCGTGATAGGAATCGTACGAGCCATGGTGGTTGCCGAAATAGTGGTGGCTGTCGCCGTAGCAGTAGCAGTAGTAGTAATCGAGTCGTAGAAGTAGTGTTAGGAGAAATAGCAATACTAGTAGCACTCGTAGTCGCAGCCGTGGTAAACATAGTAGTAGTAGTAGTAGTAGTAGTAGAAGTAGTAGTAGTAGTAGTAGTAGTAGTCGTAGTAGTAGTAGTAGTAGTAGTAGTAGTAGTAGTAGTACCAGTAAGCAGTCTAACTAGTCGTAGTAGTGGCATTACATGTCGTAAGCGCACTAGTAGCGTTGTCGTAGTCGCATCCGCGAACGATGTAGTGGTACTAAAGGTAATGGTGATAATCGTCGTAGTAGCCGTAGAAGTAATAGCAATAGTAGTAGCAGTAGTCGTAGGCGCCGTAGTAAAAGGAGTAAGAGTAGTCGTCGTCGTCGTCGTCGGAGTAGTAGCAGTAGTAGTAGTAGTAGTAGTAGTAGTAGTAGTGGTGGTCGTGGTAGTAGTAGTAGTAGTAGTAGTAGTAGTAGTAGTAGTATTAGTAGTAGTGGTAGTGGTAGTAGTAGTCGTAGAAGGAGTAGTAGTAGTAGTAGTAGTAGTAGTAGTAGTAGTAGTAGTAGTAGTAGTGGTAGTGGTAGTGGTAGTGGGTAGTCGTACTCGTTTTAGTAGTCGTAGTAGAAGTAGTAGAAAAACGAGTGGTCGTGGCAGTAGTAGTAATAGTAGTCGTCGTAGTAGTAGAAGAAGAAGAGGTAGTAGTAGTCGCAGTAGTAGTAGTAGTAGCAGTAGTAGTAGTAATAGCTGTAGAAGTAGTAGGAGTAGTACTCGTAGAAGTAGTAGTAGTAGCAGTAGTCGTAGTAGTAGTAGTAGTAGTAGTAGTAGTAGTCGTAGTAGTAGTAGTAGTAGCAGCAGTAGTAGTAGTAGTAGTAGTAGTAGTAGTAGTAATAGTATGTGGTAATTGTGGTAGCACTGAACGGAATCTATGTAATAGTACTCCCAATCGTAGTACAGGTGGACGTAGTAGTAGTAGTAGTAGTCGAGTCGTAGTAATCGTAGTAATAATAATAGCAGCAGTAGCAGTAGCAGTAGTAGTCTCAGTAGTAGTAGTAGCAGCAGCCGCAGTAGTAGTAGTAGTAGTAGTAGTAGTAGTAGTACTACTACTAATACTAGTAGTCGTAGTAGTAGGAGTAGGAGTAGTAGTAGGAGTAGGAGTAGGAGTCAAGCTAGCCAGCTCGAGCGAGTCAAGCATGGCATGCCCAGTCCCACCCGCCCTCCCACAACATAAGAAGCAAAGCTGGCACAACTGGGGGCCGAAGTCACACCGGCCAGCCGGTTTGGTACAGCTGATGCGGCCGCGATGGCGGTTGCCGACGGGAACTGGCGAGCGCGTGTTGAATGCCGCGCACGCATTGCCAGACGAGTCGAGAATGGCCCGGTACACCGCAGGAAGCCAGAGGTGGCCGGAGGAAGCCCGACGGTCTGACAGGACACCCCAAAGCATTTTTGTGAAAAAGCATTGGGTTTTTGATGTTTTTATGTTGAAATGCTTGCAAACACACGGTGTTCGGTAGGATTCTGACATGAACGCGCGAGTGTGCTCTTTGTGGTATTTTTTGCACAGGATTCGCGGCCTGGGTGCATGACAGAGCATCGCGAGTGCACCGCGCGATGACGTGAAATCGCTGGATTTGACAGAATTCTTAAGATTCCTATGGTTTTCCTATGATTTCAGCAAGAGAGCCCGGGCGGGAAATTTGTACAATTTTTGTGAAAAAAAACATTGGGTTTTTGATGTTTTTATGTTGAAATGCTTGCAAACACACGGTGTTCGGTAGGATTCTGACATGAACGCGCGCGTGTGCTCTTTGTGGTATTTTTTGCAATGGATTATCGCCGTGGACGACAGGACGTCCATGTCGAGAGGAAAAAATAAGAAAAATATTGATTTTGCATTGTTTTTTACAGGTTAGGATGGGACCCCCCGGATGCGGCCCCTAATGGCCGGCCTGAGGGGGGAGTAGGAGTATATTCTAATAAGGAATAAGGATAAGAGTAGTAGTAGTAGTAGTAGTAGTAGTAGTAGTAGTGGTGGTAGTAGTAGTAGTAGTAGTAGTAGTAGTAGTAGTAGTAGTAGTAGTAGTAGTAGTAGTAGTACTAGTACTAGTAGTAGTAGTAGTAGTAGTAGTAGTAGTAGTAGTAGTAGTAGTAGTAGTAGTAGAGCAGTAGTAGTAGTAGTAGTAGTAGTAGTAGTGGTAGTCGTGGAAAAACGTGATAATAGTGGTAACCATAAAAGAAACAGTAGGAGTAGCAGTTTCAGTAGAAGTGGTAGCAACGGCGGAGGCGGCAGTATAGGAGGACTAGCGGCAGAAGCAGCAATGACGTGAGCAGCAGTGTGAGCAGCAGCAGCAGGAAGAGGAGCATTCCGAGGGGGCGGGGGGAAGTGGAGCAGGGGGAAAGCGAAGCGAAAACGAGTTGTCCACGGGCACCCACTGGGGAGACCGCAAGGTACCGATACCGCCACTCCCTGCACCCCTCCCGGGGTGCGTCCTGACCAGGATTTCGCAGCGAATCCAGCGGTTGCGACGAGGGCCTCCCAGGAGGCCCACAAGAGGGAAAACGCGCGAAGGGTAGCCGTATGGGTACCTTTTCCTGAAGGGGCCCCAGGACACACAAATAAATACACACAAATAAAAATACCCCCCATATTTTCCCATATTTTCTTGGTTTCTGTCTTCCCACCCACTTCCCATATTTTCCTATATTTTCTGGGGGATCGAGGATTAATTGTGTCTGTGTGTTTTTTCCCCTCCTGATTTCCTCCTCCGACGCGCTGGCCCAGAGCTCGGCCGTGCCAGACGGGCGCAACCTGGCTGGCGGAGAGGCCGGCCGCGCCGGCCCGCGCGCGGGGCGCCCCCGCGAGGCAGCCGCGGGACACCTCTGCAGACCGACGCAGGCCGCGCAGGCCAACGCCGCACAGGAGGCGGCCACGGGCGCCCTTCTGGCCGAGAGCTCCCGGCCGCGCCAGCGCGGCCCTGACTGTCTGCATCTGTTTGCCCTACACCTGGCGAAATGCTTAAGAAATCATGGGTTAAGAAATTCATAGTCTCAGAACTTGAATAAAAACCAAATTGTTCTATTAAATCTTAGGGTTTACATTGAAACATTAAGAATAATCGAGACTCTGGCCGAAAATTTAAGTTTTCTTAAGCATCGCCTAAGGTGTATGTTTGCCTTGTTTGCCTTATGTAAGGGCCATCTGTTTGCCCCATGTTTGTCAATGTTTGCCTCGTTTGCCCCATGTTTGCCCTATGTTGGCCTGGGGTTGGCAACAAGTGTGCCTGGTTTGCCCTAGGTGAGGGCCATGCGCAGGGCAAAGGAGTCGGAGCTTTCGTGGAACCACCGTTCAGATCCGCCCACCAATGAAACCCCGAGACCGCTCCGCAGAGACTCCGAGAAGAGTCCCCGAGAACTGAATGCGAACTGACTGCTCGAACTCTTCGCCGCAAGAAGGACCTCTGAGGCCGCAAGCAGGCGCCTTCAAGGCCCTGACGAGACCCACAGAGGCCCCGAGCATTCGTGGAACCACTGTTTGGTCTGAGTGCTGCCAAGGCTACAGAGCCAGCGCACGCTCGCGCTGAGACTCCACCCGTCTGAAGACATTAGTCTGACTCTGCGGTACTTGCTCATCCAGTACCGGGAAACTTCAGGATATGGTGGTGATGGTGATGGCGATGATGGTGGCGATGATGATGAAGATGAAGATGAATATGAAGATGATGAAGATGAAGATGATGATGAAGAGGATGATGATGCCGATGGCGATGCCGGTGACAATGACGATGGTGACTAGCATAGGAAGGAGGATTAAAAATCTGATTATAATGAAGATTATGCTGATTATGATGATCATGATGTTGATGATAATGGTGACCATGGCGACGACAATGATCATGATGATGATGAAGGTGATGATTATGATGATGATTATGATGATGATGATGATGATGATGATGATGATGATGATGATGATGATGATGATGTCGATGACCATAATGATGACGAGGATATGCTGTTGATGCTGATGTTGATGATGATAATGATGGTGATGACGATGAGGAGGAGGAAGAGGTGGAACAACTAGGAGGAGGAGGAGAAAGAGCCGGAGGAAATCTCAGAATTCCGCCATCGTGATTATTTCACATCGGCGTCCCCCAGAGGTCTGGACCCCTTCCCTGGGAACTGGATGCTTCATCCCGGGCCTTTTATTTTAGGGCCCTGGGGCTCGACGGGGGCCCTTGGAAGCTGAAAAGTAAAACGTCCGCATGCATCCGAGGGAGGATGTTCTTCGAGTGCGGTTGGGGCTGCAGCCACCACCCAACGCGCAGCCTCTACCTCCTCCCCCCCTCCCTCCTCCTCCTCCCTCCTCCTCCTCCTCCTCCTCCTCCTCCTCCTCCTCCTCCCCATCCTTCTGCTCTTCCTCTTCCTCCTCCTCCTCCTCCACCTCCTCCTCTTCTTCCTCCTCCTCCCCATCCTCCTGCTCTTCCTCTCCCTTCTCCTCCTCTTCCTCCACCTCCTCCTCCTCCTCCTCCTTCTCCTCCTCTCCTAGCCCTTTCTGGCCCGAGTCGCGTCTGCAAGGGTAGAAACATTGGGAAGGGCTACTTCTCTCCTGCGAACCAAGTCTGGCTTCTGGGCTTCCTGGGTGGCGTCCCCGGACTCCTGAACTATAAACGGGTACTGCGGCCTGGCTGGCCTTACATCCGTCACGGCGCCGCCATGTCGCGCGGCCTCGCTGCTGACCCCTGGCGCTGCAAGGAGTGCGTCACGAGGGACGGCACGCCGTGGATCAACCGTGGCGACCTCAAGCAGTGCTCCAAATGCAACCTACATAAAGGAGTCTGCTACGGTGGTCCCAGAACGCCCAAAGGGAGCTCTGCGACCATGTCCACGGGCTCACCTAAGGCATCTAAGGATAAGTCCGACACCGCCTCCATGGCTAAGCAGCTTGCCAACATCCAGGCAATGGTCAAGAAGCTCACGGTCGCCCAATCGCCTCCTCCTTGTGTTACTGCTGCTGCTGGGGGGGAGGGCTTCTGCTGCTGGGGCGGGCGTCGGAATGGACAGTGGGTACCCCCATGGGGCTCCCACTTGTGACAACGGAGGCACCGCTGACCCGTCGGAGAAGCAGGTCAAGCGTGACCGCATCACGAAGAAGATCAATGCGCTCCTGAAGGTCTATGATGGATCCTCCGTGGCCTCTGACCTGGTGCAGGTCAAGTCCCTCGCCGAAGAGAAGGAGCGCTTGGGCAAGGAACTCGACGCCGAGCGCCCCCTGGAGGATCACGTCACCTCCCTCACCACGAGGCCGTGGAACTCCCGTGCCAAGGCCAAGCGCCTTCGCGAGGAGCACGCTCAGAAGCAGCTGGTCATCGACGAGCTGGTTGCCAAGCAGACGGTGCTCCAGTACTCCCTGGCCGAGGCAGAGGCCGAAGTCGCGCGGCTGGAGGTTGAGGTCCAGCGCTTGGGCGCCGACCGAGCCCCTCCGCCCACAGCTGGCAAGCCCACGCTCCATGAGCTGCTGCCGAAGTTCACTGTCGACGTCCAGAGGCTCGGCGAGTTGGCCGTGGAGCTTGCCTTGGACCCAAGCCTTCAAACGGAGCTGGACACGGCGGCCAAAGTCTTCGGGAGGCTCCATGAGCTTCCTCAGGCGAAGCCGCCGCCGGCACAGGTCCCCGCTGTTGCCCCTGCTCCCGCGACCCCTGCTGGAGAAGAACGAGGTGGAGTTGCTCCCACCGCCGTTCTCCCCGCGGGCCAGGTGCAGGTCCTCGCTGAGGAAGCCGCCGGGAACGAAATGGATATCGACATCGACCTCATGGAGTCCGCCGAGCTGTGGGAGGCGTCGGAGGCGGCACGAGTCACGCAGCCTGACGAAGCCACCAGCGCGGACATGCGGGCGCACAAGCGTGTCCTCGACTCCTTCACGCATGCGGCCACGGCGCACAAGAAGAAGAAAAAGGCTCGATCCGCCCCTATCTGAGGGCAGCGCCTGCCAGCGCGACCGCACGGATGGAACGTGCCATGCACAGACCATTCGATGCGAGTGCAATGCGCCAGCCTGTTGTGACGGGTTGTGCGGCCATCGAACTGACACGAAGCCCCATGGACGGAATGTCAGCTGTGGCCTCCCGTGCGCTGACAGCACGTACCATGTACAGGCTGTCAGCTGGGGCCACTACTGCTCCACCCCGTCGCCGTCGACCTGCACTCCAGTCTACGCGTCTTCACCGTGTGCGGCCAGCCCGCGAGGATGGAACGTCGTGCTGTTCTGGTGTCTATGCATGGCCCAGTTCGAGGGTGGTTCTGCAAGGGCCCCCGACAGCGGTGGGAGGACCAATTCGGTGGCTGACCAGTCCGCGGGCTCACTTCGCAACTGGCGGAAAGGACCACCGCGACACCGAGCTGGCGGCAGCGACACAATCATGCCAGAGGGTCACGGTCCTTTGGTGCAGGGTCCCAGCACGGCCATGCCTGATGCTGGCGACGCGCGCTGTCAGGTGGCTGACAAGCTGGTCACGGTCAACCCTTGCTCTCACGGGCCACTTCTCAACTTCCTGCCGCACTTCCTCGGCAAGTTGGTGATGGTCCAGGAAACACGGGTGGTCGACCAGCGGCTTGAGGCTGTTCAATCTGCGGCGCGCGATGCAGGTTGGCACGGCGTCTGGGCTCCTGCCGAGGAGACGGGAGGAGCTTCCGCGGCGTCGTGCTCCATTGGGCTCTGCGCGCTCGTGTCTACCAACGTGATGGTCACGATGCCCCCCGATGGGGATCATGTCGTCTTTCCCCATCATGTTGTGGCAGCTCATGTTCACTGGGTGTCCCTGGTGGTCTGATTGTCGTCAGCGTGCACATGGTTCAGAGCATCGGCGTCGCTGGGGCCAACCTCTCGATCCTATGGGCGATTGCGAAGCGCGAGGCGGCGTGGAACGCGCGCGGCCTCGACTGGATCATCGGGGGTGACTGGAACGCCGACGGCCAGAGCACCAACATTGGCGACTGGGTCGGGTCTTTGGCAGGCGCTCTCCTCCAGCCGTCGGCACCTACGTGCGTCACCTCCAATGGAGTGTCCACCAACGACTACTTCTTGGTGGCCAGCAATCCCGCGTCCCGAGTCTCTCGTCAGCCCGAGGTGATACATGGATGTGGGAGCATTCCCAGACCTCGCTACCCTGCGGGTCTGGAGCTGCACGGAGAGGACACGCCGACGCGGTGCCGCGCCCCCGATGGGCCTCGACCGCTGCCTGCTGCACCCCCTGTTGGCTGTGCTCGTTTCCCTTTTCCTTGGCATACTTTGGATAGCCTATCTGCGCGAGCAGCCACCGCGCCGGAAAGGGGGTTGCTGGCACGGACCATGTCCAGTCCAGGCCCGATCGGGACCGATGCAGGTCCGTCGATCACTTTGGTCTACTGAGCAGAACTAAGCGCGATCGACCGGGACGCGCGGGCCAACGTTGCTGCCGTCGGACCTGGGCCCATGGACAGGCCGTCGGCGAGGCAAGTGCACCCGATGATGTCCTGCAGCAGCTCTGGGGCTCCGTTTTGCAGGGCATTGACTACGAGATCGCTGGCAATCACGACAAAATTGGCCCTGGAGCCGACCGCTTCGTCGGGCACCACGGCCCCCGCAAGGTGAAGTGGCGGCGGTTGCGGCGGGGGCCACCTCGCAAGCGGCTGTGCCACGACACCGCAGTCTGGGCTTGGGCTACTGCGGCACGCTGGGCGACTCACCTTGAAGCTGAGCGTGATCGGGTCCAGCGTTTTTGTCACCGGTTGAATGCAGTGGCGGCGCGTGCGTCTCCAGCTCCCAGGCAGCTGCAGACGACGGCCAGCGTCTTCTACGACATCCTCTGCCTCCTGAGCTCCATTGTCGGGCAGGACAAAGTCCTCGCCAACGTCAACCCCTGCTGCGCGGGCTGGGCGGGCTGATTGCGGAGGACTTTGCTGACATGGTAGATGCCATCGTGGGCCGTGCGGAGGGCCCCACTGCTGCGGCTCGCGGCGCGTCGGAAAGAGCCCGGCGCAGCTGGGCTCGGGCGGCCGTCAATGGGGGAGCGAAGGCCGCCCATGCTGCATCCAAGGTCAGGGCGCAGTGAGAACCCGTTGCCCCTGAAGCCAACGCCCAGCCAGCCATCCTCGCGGACCGCGCCATGGACGAGTGGAAGCGGATCTGGGCGACCCATGGGCTGGAATAGCTGCCTCTGCCCACGGATGCACCTACTTGGGAGGAGCTGCCTAGCCTGACGATCCATGACCTACGGCAGGCCATCCGATCGTTCTCTCTCGTCACCGCCTCGGGGCCCACCCGCATTCCACCGAAGGCGCGCGAGCACTTATCAGATGAGGCTTTCAGGAGGTCGGCCCAGATATTCGAAGTTTTTGAGCAGCACTTAGGGTTTCCCTCTGACCACCTGCATCGTGAGATGGTCCGCCTCCCTAAGCCAGATGGTGGCCACAGGCTGATTGTGCTTAGCCGAACTCTCATACGAGATTGGGCGAAAGCACGCCGATGGCTGTCGGCAGAGTGGCAACGACAGCATACTTGCGACGAGATGTGGGGTACTCGAGGCAGCCATGCATCCTCGGCCTCGGATTTCGCTCATAATCTGGAGCGATAGGTGGGAGCCTCATCGGCGACCACACTTGCACCGCCCTCCTAGACATGGTGAAATGCTTTGACATGGCGAGCCCCCATGCGCTCATGCGGGAGGCGCGGGGGCTGGGTTACCCGATGCGCCTGCTCTGGATGTTGCTGCAGCTCTACCGACAGCCACGGCGCATCAAGGCGTACGGCAGCCTCTCGTGCTCCTTCGTCGCCTCTTCAGGGGGTGCTGGCGGGGGTGCACGCATGCCACCTCCATCATCTACCTGCTGACGTACCGTGTCCTCCAGCGGGCCAGCAGGGTTGCGCCGACCATCAAGCCGCGTTCGCTGGTGGACGACATCGGCCTGCAGATGGTCTCCCCCGGCCTGGGTGATGTCAAGCTGCTCACTGGGTCAGCGCAGGTCCGCCATGTGGTGCACAAGGTCCAGCGGCGGATGCCTCGGGCGGTGCCACCAGCCCGACATATGCGCAACCTTGGCCATGAGCTGCATGGCCCTCGAGTGCTGCGGAAGGTCGAGAAGAAGCGCCTGAAAGCCCCGCGGGAGCGCAAGCGCCGACTCCTCATGCTGCGTCGCGCGGCAGGGCGCAAAGCCTCCACCCTGTGGCGGACTGGGCTCATGCCGCCCGCAGGGCACGGCGCTGGAGTCGGGGTTGGCGGACGCGCCCCTACGCGAGATGCGCAGACAAACGCCATGTGGGTGTCACGGCATACCTGCTAACTCACCCTTCGGAGAAGTACGGCCCCATCTATCATGCCACGCTGGACCGGGTTTTGAACTGCGCCGCCTGGATTTGGGATCGGCGCGCGTCACAGCGCTCCGTGAGCGGGTTGTCCCTATCAGTTGGGCCAATGGCAAAGGTCCCCTGGCCGATGGGACATGAAAGCGCCGCGCGTTTTGCAGACGACCTGGGCAATCAATGACCTGTACCGCGTGTGCCCTGCTGCCCTACAACCGTTATTGGTGCAAGGCGTGCAGCGCTGGCAGCATGGCCGCCTCACCAGCCACATGTGCTCCCACGCTGGTGCGCCCATCTGGCACCGCGGGCTCAGGTGCGCGGCCAAGGGTGTCCGTGCCGCAAGGCAGCTGGGAGCTTACAGGCGATATGGTCTGACAACATACCCATGCCGATCCGCGCGGACATGAAGCTCGGCATGCCCACGCGCCGTTGTCAGGCCTGCGGGAAGGCCCTTGCGCCCGATGAATGCTGGGCCATGTATTCCAGGAGTGCCCCGCGCTGCTGACCCGCCCCCCCGCAAGGCAGATCCCACGGGGCAGGGGCCGACGGGCCATGTCCAAGGCCTGCGACAAGCGCAGAACGCGCGCGGTAGTTCAGGGGCCCTTCTGCCCCAGAAAAGGGCCCCTGAAATGCAGCAGGGTTTCGGCGACCTACGCCGGCAGGTTCACGACCACCTCGAGAGTCGGGCCGACCCGACCCTGCCGTCCTACACCTGCGCCCAGCAGCCCAGCACCATGGAGGCCGAGGACGACTTCGAGGCATCGGGCAAGGGGTTGATGAAGTGGCCGACTTTGCGCCACCCGACGGGTGCGACGGCCACCAGGAGAAGGCGCGGCTGGACGCGCAGAGCGTCCTCTGTGCGCCACTGGTAGCTTCGGAACAGAGTGACCCGTTGTCCCCTGCGGCGGCGGCCCCAGCCTCGGCGCCCGATGCACCGCGCGGGCATGGCGGGCCCGAGACAGCGACACCAACGCTGAATAGCCGTGGCATCTCCCACCTCCGCCAGGAGCTGGCTGAGGCGCGCGACCCATTTAATCCAAGCGGGTCTTGGATCAGGCACGCCGAACTGGTCCTACCTCGTTTTTGGCATGCCCGGGCCTCCCGCCGTTCTGCCACACGCAGATGCGCAGAGGCATGATGTCCAGGTCAGTGACGGAGCACTGGCGGTCGGGGAAAGCGTCGGGCCCCTCCCTGATCGCGTGCCTCTCAGCACGGCCGACAGTCTGCACCGAGTGCGGAAGGGGCCCGAACCGCGCCCTAACAGGGAGCCAAGAGTAAGGATCAAGCGGCACAACTGCTTGCCCACACCTCCGCACCTCGGGAACACCTGAGTCGTAACCAGACCCGTCGGTGTAAGAAACGGGGCCCCAAAGGCCATGGGCGTCGCCCCAGAGGCAGACATCGTGCCTCTGCGCATCTGCGTGTGGCAGAACGGCGGGGGGCCCCTGGCGCTCGCCCAGGCAGGAGAGCGCTGGTGCCCCGAGCTCAAGCAGGGTCGTGCCAAGCATGCTAGAGCGTGGCGGGGCATCTTCGTGGCCAACCGCAGGCGCACTCTGCGGGGCCCTCCAAAGTTCCGAAGGACGCCAGCGCACAGGTCCTTGGAGGAGCTCGTTGGCACAGGGCCGCAGGAGCTGCGTGAC